CGCCTCTCTCTGTCTTTTTTACAAATACTTTCATGGCAATTGCTCCGAGGAGCTGCATTCGCTGGTTCTCAGACTTCATGAGTTTAAGCGCCATACGAGGCTGGCATCCCGCTCTCACCCTTTCACTGTCGAAACTCATAAATGTAACCGTCTCTTCTACTCCAATAGCTTCATATCTCGCACCTCTCACCTGTGGAATACCCTTCCCTATTCCAGTTTCCCTGAGAGCTATAATCTTCAAATATTCAAATATAATGTCAATCGACATCTCCAGTTGCCTTGATCTATCCACTACCCTTCTCCTCATCCTTTCTTCTATCATTCCTATCTGATCTTGCTCCAAATTTTCTGTAACCCCTTGCGTCCTAGTGGCTTCCCGCCTTGCTTGGGGTGAAACGCTTAAAAAAAAAAGAAAAAAAAAAGAAGATATATAGCCGGAGCACCAGACAAGAGAAGATTCAATGCACGAATGGTAGATTTATAAATGCAAGATGGAGTCTTCGTTTGATTTTGTGAGATTGTTTAAAAAAATGCAGCTGAATAATGCAAATTTAATTCTGAAATAATGTCATTCACTTGAATTAATTATAAACTTTCCTCGTTAACCATTACTGCTCCTTCGGCATAAAGATGTTGATATGCCACTAAACAAATACAATCAACCCGCCATCCACAGGAACTTTTATCATTACTTGTTCAATCATTTCACCCCAAGCAAGGCAATAAGGTCACTATTAATGAGAGATGGCAATTATATAACAAGAATTAAGAAGATAACGATTGACATTACGTTTAAATTATTGAACATCAGATCTGACTGGAAAATATAAAGCCTGAAGAGAGTTCCACAAGCAACAGAAAAATACTGTCCTCATAGAACTTACGATTCCATCAACTATAAATTGATGAGACCTTCCCGCCAATCTAGTACTGAACTTAAACTCTTTAATTCGAGATACCAGAGAGAATAGTAATATTTAATTGTGTAAAAATACAAAATGTGGCACAAGACCAAAATGGTGGGTGGAGGATAAATGGTTGGTCTTGTTCCGTCTTATAATTAAACTTGTTTAGCCACAAACACTGACCCAAATATACCACAATATTCCTTACACCAAAACAACTCATTCTTACTTAGTTTTCTTACTACATTCACCGTAATAACTCATGGTCTCTATGAAGAATTTAAGGTAAGAAAATCAGGTACTGAAAATTGTAATTAAAAATAGGAAAATTTATATATTATGTTATTTATATTATATTATCATATATTATACTATTTTATATTATACTATATACCAATGGTTAGTGTTCCATGGTTAATACATTATCATTTTTGTACATATATAGGGTGTCCATAAAGTTGGTGTGCAATTCAAAAGATTATAAATTTATTTGTATTTGCGATAGAATTAATTTGGAAAGAAGTAAATCTATATTTTTTAAGGTTTTATTGAAATTTTATTTAAGTTTCCACGTGTCCTCCATCATTAGCAATACAAAGGGTAATACGATTTTGCAGTTCACGGAAAACATTTGCCAACTGATTTACAGTAATGCCTGAAATCACATTAGTTATTTTAGCTATACTTAAAACTAGGTACATTAAACTTTATAACATTTTTTACAGATTATTTCTATCGCAAATAGAAATAAATTTATAATTTTTTAAAGTGCACACGAACTTTATGGACACCCTGTATATATTGGTTCTTGTTTCTTCTCATTTTTTTTTCACGCGGACTCAAATCCAGAGTCCGCCATTTTGTTTGTGTGTATTTCAGAAGACAGCGTGTTATTCCCAATGTCAAATACCGACGTTACTAACACAGGAAACAAGTTGGGAAACGCATAACTGGCACAGAACATTTACTGATGGATTTTTTTTTATTTTATTTGCTTTTACCCAAAATGCATTTTGTGCTCTTGCATTCGTAATGTTCTGCTGTTTGGAAAAAAATTTTAAAAAATAGACGACATTGTTGTGATTTTTACTTCCGGTTGCAAGCTCAGCTTATTTGCGTAAAATTACAGGAGAATCCGAGGAATGTAATTTGGAAACGAAGAAGATTGATCGAGGAAGAAAAAAAAGGAAGTTTTCTGTTAAACAAATTAAAAGAATTCTAATGTAGAATCTCTTTGAGATTACTGTTTATTTTGCTGCCTATCTAAACTCCCCATTTTTTTTTTTACAAGATTTTTTTCTACACATTCATGAAATGGAAACAGTTTTATCTATACACCCATCCCCGCCGATAATTGGGATCAGTGGAATCTGGGTCTGAAGATCTCCGTACAAACACGTATAAAAAAAAAAAGAAAGACGGGTTTAAAAGGTTGAAATACTAATGTAAAAAGAGGAATCAACGAAATATCCGAAAATTAATGGAACTCATCAGAGATCAGAAAAAAACGAAAGTGTTTATAGCAAAAAAAGCATAAAATGAAATATGAATTGGGCTAAAAAAATAAAACTAGTGTTTCCTGAATTTTCACTGAAAAATTTTTTTGAAATAATTTGATGTTCAAAAAGAAATCAAATGAATTCGTATATTATTCGGCTTTAGCAGTAGAGGCCCTTTTCAAAAACCTTCTAATTCTTGAAAATTGCAATGCATAAATATTCCACGATATACGTATTTATACGAGTTAAAAAAATAGGATCCAATGCATTATGTTGTAAGCGGGCATCCATTTTTGTTATATACTGTACTAAAGGGATATGTCCCAATCCTCACAAATACGATCAGTGGTTTACCTACTTCACACCGCTGGCGAGTATAGGATTATTTTGATGTCATAAAGGTTACTATTTCATTTCCAAGCTGCGTTTTAGTTATTCCTCATTCATTAACCTATTCTAGGTTACAACGGAAGGAAAGAAAGAAGTCAAGCAAAGAAAGAAAGAAAAAAAGAAAGAAAGAAAGTAAGAAGTCAGGCAAATAAAGAAAGAAAGTGTTATATACCGTACCTATGAACACTATGTCCTAGTCCTCATAAATACGTTGGACACTATTATAAGTGGTGGTGGGGGGTGTAATATGCTGTCTAAGTAGTGCACCACTAGCAGTGGTTTATCTACTTCACGCCGCTGGCGAGTATTGTATTTTGTTGATGTTATAAAGATTACCATTTTATTTGCAACCTCCGTTTTGTTTATTCCTCATTCAGTAACCTTTTCTGGGTTACAACAGAAGGAAAGAAAGAACGAACGAAAGAAAGAAAGAAAGAAGTCGAGCAAAGACGGAAAGAGAGAAAGTAAGAAAGAAAGAAAGAAAGAATTCAAGCAAATAAATAAGGTGTTATATACCGTCCCTATGAAAAGTTATGGGTGTGTCCCAATCTTCATAAATACGTTGAACACTATTGTAAGTGGCGGGGGTGGGTAATATGGTGTCTAAGTAGTCCACGACTAGCAGGGGTTTATCTACTTCACGTCGCTGGCGAGTATTGTAGTTTGTTGATGTTATAAAGATTACCGTTTCATTTCCAAGCTCCATTTTGGTTAGTCCTCATTCAGTAACCTTTCCTGGGTTACAACAGAAAGAAAGAATGAACGAACGAACAAAAGAAAGAAAGAAAGAATGAACGAACGAATGAACGAAAAAAAGAAAAAAGTCATGCAAAGAAAGAAAGAAAGAAAGAAAGAAAGAAAGTGTGATATACCTTCCCTATGAACACTAATGGGCATGTCCCAATCCTTATAAATACGTTGGACACTATTGTAAGTGGGGGTAATATGCTGTATAAGTAGTCCACTACTATCAGTGGTTTACCTACTTCGCGCCGCTGGCGAGTATTGTATTTTGTTGATGTTATAAAGATTACTCTTTCATTTCCAAGCTCCGTTTTGGTTATTTCTCATTCAGTAACCTTTTCTACGTTACAACAGTGTTATTTTTGTTTTGTTTTTTTCTTAATCATTTCATACTACGCCAGGTAGTAAACGACGAAGACACAAGACGTTCCTGAATCTGAAATAATAAGAAAAAATGGAAACATTATTAAGGAGCGAGAACAATAGAATAGTAATCAAGAAGACTGTACATAACGATTGACATTGCATTTAAATTTTCGAATTTCAAAGTTGGCTGGGAGCATGGAGCCGGGAGAGTGTTCCACAAGCAAGAAGTGCGACAAAAGAAACCATTAGGTTGCATCTCACCAGTTCAACTGTGAATTGATGAGACCTTTCTGCCAATCTACGACTGCGATTAAATTCATAAAGTCTATGTATCATATCGAAGAGTTCATCCGAACAGAATTACCCACACTACTTTTCATTATAACTCTTTTATATTATTAAATGTTTGCCAAGCAATCATTATTCGTTGTTTTATTTTATTTTCATTCACTTTCATATGTATTTAGTTATTGTTTTCCTGGATGGCTTCCAGGTCTTCATCCTTTATGATTACGATCGATTCCGGAATATTGAAATCAGCCAGTACTGTTGTTTTATTTTTGTTCAGCTTTAAAACTGTACTCAAGATTTATTGTAAATTAACTGCGGATTCCAATATAAGTCAAATAATGTCAACAAATCATAAATGGCTCAAATAAGGTCCGGTCTTTTCAAGAGAGACTGTAAATAATTACAGCGAAATCGTATCGCTACCCTGATAGATAGATAGATAGATAGATAGATAGATAATGGAAAGAATGAGATAGATACATATGAACAGAGATAGATAGATAGATAGATAGATAGATAGATAGATAGATAGATAGATAGATAGATATGAAAAGTCTGAGATAGATAGATAGATAGATATTAATAGGGTTTAAGATAGATAGATAATGGAAATAATGAGATAGATAGATAGATAGATAGATAGATAGATAGATATGAACAGAATGAGATAGATAAACAGATAGATAGATATGAACAAAATGTTATAGATAGATAGATAGATAGATAGATAGATAGATATGAACAGAGTGAGATAGATAGATAGATAGATAGATAGATACATAGATAGATAGATATGAACGGAATGTTATAGATAGATAGATAGATAGATAGATAAATAAGAGTTTAAGATAGATAGATAATGGAAATAATGAGATAGATAGATACATAGATAGATAATGGATAGAATGAGATAGATAGATAGATAGATAGATAGATAGATAGATAGATAGATAATAATGGAAAGACTAAGAAAGAAAGAAAGAAAGAAAGAAAGGCATAGATAAATTGTTCCAGTTTCCTGTTTGGTGGATAAATCTTGGAATAACCGATTAAACAATGTCCGACCAACAGAAAGAAATAAAAAAAAAATATTTATGACCTGACTTCATTATCAACAAAACCTACTCCATTTTTAAAACTCTGCTTTTTCATTTTGTAATAACAACTGTTTTTCTTTTCGCTTACTGCTGACATGCAAATCTCTTTTTTCATCACCTGGAATATAGCGATGCAAAAGGGAAAACATTGCATCCCTAAGACTGCTTCAGGTGGTAGAATCTTGTATTCGGCTCAGTAACGCCCATTCTTTGTTTTGTTTTACCGTTTCCGTATCCGGGTGAGTCATTTGTCGACAGTAGAACATGACGGGTTTATTTTTTGCCCCAAATCGCTAGATCCTATCGTACCGGCTTTTTCGAATTTTCTTCATGCGGGGTGGATGGTCATTCAGTGCAAGGCTGGTCGGATTTGTCGCAATTACAATGTTTAACCTTTTCCACCACATGTGATACATGTGGAGCTTCACTGCACGCTGTTTTTAAAGGCTTCTGTAACACTTTCGGAATTCATACAGTAAGCAATGGAGAATAGGTTGCTTTTTAAAGTCATAAACCTTCATGAAGTTAAAATCTGATACGCACTATGACCGACAAATTCCGAACAATCAAAGTGGGTTTTCCGAGTCGTACCATCGTAATCACCAGTAGACTCATCGAACACCAAATGTCTATTAATTGCACTCTGCTTCGAAATGTAGCATGTAAGGCGCTCACTCAAGGAGGTAGTGGTGTGTCCGTCATAGGACATTGACTCTTGACAAGTGACGCAGTCTTGTATTGCCCACCGGAACTCGTACGTCACACTGGTAAGCGCAGGTTTAGTTTTGGTATGGTTGTTACTAGCGTTGTGTATCTTTGGTAAGAATATTTTTATTTGGCTATCAATGATGCTGTTCGGACAATTGCTGTTGATAAGTTTTTGTTTTATGTATTTTAGTTCGCTTAGATATTTGTTGACTCAAAACTTATAAGAACATTTACGGAAAATTCGGTCAATAATACAAAGATTTTTTTTTAGGTCGCACAGTCGTACACAACTTATTTTGAGGGCGACATTATTATTATCCATTGCTTAGGATTATCTCATATATATATATATATATATATATATATATATATATAGAGAGAGAGAGAGAGAGAGAGAGAGGTGGGGGAGAAATTTGTTTCATTCTTGATTTCAGAAGGCCACAGAAATAGTCAAGACAGCCGCTTAACTTGCACTTAATTTTTGTGGCTGGTATTTTTCGACAAAATCTTGCCCTTATTTATATATCTCCAGATATTCTTTGATCTAACTTGTGGCGGGGGTCAAACACCGACACACTTTCCTCCTAAGCTAGTTCTTTTACCACCTCCATGTTTTTATGCTCCTGAAGCAGCTGAAGTACCTTTGTCGTCACCTCCTCTCCGTGTACCTCGAGAAAGGGAGGCAAATCGATAGCGTTGGTACGTGACGTTATCTGTGATAAGTACTTCGAGGAATTTTCTCCAATAAAATGAATAAATGATCTGGGCGTCAGGCGTTCACAGATGCGCTTCGTCTTGCCTTTGACCGTGTTGATTCTTAGCAATAGAATACGGCAGCTGGCAATGCTTCCCTCGACCTCAGTCACCGACTGCTTCCATGTGTACGACGGCTGCTCGTTCTGCGAAATTTTACCCGTCCTATGATACAAAAATGCTCACGAATGGCAGCTCGTATAATGGAGCACTCGTTCTACGAGATTCTACTGCATTTTCATATATCATGATCTGTACATACATACCCTCTCTCTCTCTCTCTCTCTCTCTCTATATATATATATATATATATATATATATATATATATATATATATATATGAATGAATAAAACACCAAAAGTAAAACGGAAAGTTATAAACAAAATTAGAACTTGTAAAACTCAGGATGACCCATGCCCTTTATGCCTACATGAAAAACTACACATTATTAAGTTTCTAAATAATAAAAATCTATTAAACAATAGACAGGAGTTAACGGTTTTTTTCCGACATCATCAAATTTTCGCATTGAATAATTAGCATAAAAACAAACAAACTATAAAATAATTTTTAAATTCCATAGTCTAAATTAATAGTTTAAATGCCCCACAAAAAAATAAAAATAAATATGAATAAAAATAAAGGTAACCCTTTATGAAGTCGTCAAAAAACAAATGTTATCGACTTACGACAGTTTTTTTTTATATACACAAAACCCTTTCAGAAAAAAAAAAAAAAAAAAAAAAAATCCCCATAGAGACTTAACCAGACTAAACGATGTCATCTTCCGCAACCTTACCCTGACTTGACTTCTTTGAATGTAACTGAGATATTGATACAAATTATTAACCCTTACACCCCTTTTCTTTAAACAATTGCTCTAGCCGTTACCATAATAATCTTAATTTCAATAATGGATATGCTTATAAAACGCGTAAATTTCAGGAATAAGTTATTCAAAAAAAATTCGCATGTTGATGGAACAGAGTTTAGTACTTTAATTCAATTTAATTCAAATAATTATATTGAAGTTTTCGGCTCTTGTTTTGAAACATGAGAACTCTTATGTAGCGTTGGAATCATATTTTTGAATAAATAGTTATATATATATATATATATATATATATATATATATATATATATATGGTTTTATCGAGTTGATTTAAAAATCCAGCCGATCTACTACACACATACACGCACACACACACACGCATATATATATATATATATATATATATATATATATATATATATATATATGAAGGTGTAAAACAGAAAATGACGACACACTTCAGACCACGATTATTGCGCCTAGCATGAAACAGCCTGTCGCCTCTGAGTGTTGACTTCAGTCTTCACTTTTCTATTTATATTTACATACGCTCTATCTCTGATATTGAGCACTTTATCCCATAAATATAGCACGCCTTAAAAACTATATATATATATATATATATATATATATATATATATATATGATTGACTGATTGATTTTTTTACAGCATATCATCCTCAATGGGTTATTTAATGCCGCCAATTTTTATTGCTGGTAATATTCTTTTTCTTTCAAAAGTTTATTTCTGGTAATATTTTTTTCGAAAATGTATTGTTGGTAATATCTATTTAGACAAAGTATATCTGGTATTAAAACATACTTTTAACCAATTCATAGTGTTTTGACCCCAGTGTGCGTTTAACTATTTACCCATAGCTGGAACCCTAACAGGTGCTACCACCCCGGGTCAGAAAAGCCGAAAACTTCAATATAATTATTTGAATCAAATTGAATTAAAGTACTAAGCTCTGTTCCATCTTGAAGCGATTTTTTTTTCGAATCAAAAATTCAATTTAATTCAAATAATTATATTGAAGTTTTCGGCGCTTGTTTTGAAACATGAGAACTCTTATGTAGCTGGAATTTTTAAATAAATATTTATATATATATATATTTATATATATATATATTAACATGAATATATATAAAAACAAACGAACTTTTTTATTTCTCTTCGTGTGGTATAATAAATAATTTCCACTATTATCCTTAAAAATCCAGTGCTTTTTCCTATTTTAATATAACGCTCCATTGCGTCTCTAAACATAACCGCCCACACACACACATACACATCTATCTATCTATCTATCTATCTATCTATCTATCTATATATATATATATATATATATATATATATATATATATATATGTACGTATTAACACAAATCATATGAAAGGAGAGAGAAAATTACCATGCTGATATATATTTTTTTATTCGAGTACTTTTGACATGAGCGCAATATAATCACCAGGTTTTGGCTTTTTTCCAAGATCAAATTGTTGTGTTCTTGTTGAAAATATGTCTATTCTATTTCATGAAAATAATTAGCATAAACTAAACATTCCTGAAATGATATATATATATATATATATATATATATATATATATATATATATATATATATATAAATGAAACCAACCCTTAATAAAATTAATAATGAATACTGCACAAATGTTTTAACATGTTTACAGTAGATAGTTTCAAATATCTAGGTTTTTAGTAGCATTTAAACATTTCAATAGCTCAGTTACCTCCCTTTACGTTTGTTGTGTGATATGATAAAAATTGTACAGTACCTAACCATAGCTTTTTTAACTTCAAACGTAAAATTTTTATTTTCAGATGTACACAACAATTTTGTCTGAGAAAAATGATGATCACAACAATTCTTTGTCTTAGAAAAACAACACACTGACGATGACATTATGCTAAGGTCGAAAGTACTCGGAATAAAATGAACATGCATCAAAATGGTAATTTCTGTCTTCCTTTCAGAAGGATACTAAAATCTGTCCGTAATTACGAGAGGATCTCATTAAAAATAATTAGTGAATGCATGTCGAAATTATTTAATGAGACATGTCTTTATTTATATATATATATATATATATATATATATAAAAAAACATGAATGTCTTCTTAAACATGTGTATTCACTATATATATATATATATATATATATATATATATATATATATATATATATATATGCCTTACTTCTTGCCTTACTTCACACTGCGAATTTTTTCTAAGCTCTATGCTAAACATTAAATCTGTTACGAAAAAAAGGCTAAACAAAATGAACACAAAACAATCAGATTTAAAAAAGGACTCGTAACTGGAAAAACCGAATGAAAAAAGAATGTTAACAACTAATACTTTTTCACACCCAACCCAGTTCTGCGGAATCAGAATCAACGTTGAGTTTAAGCAAGCGAATGAGCGAATTTGAGTAAAGTGCCATGCAGATTTAAATTTTTCCCACTTGTGACGAATGCAGCAATCGATATTTGTTTGCATGCTAGCATGCTAGTTAACATTCGTGTCAGTCAACTGTTGGCTCTCACGCTGACCAATAGAATCTTCCTGCCTATTCGTGTCAGCCAGCTATAGGCTCTCACTCTGACCAGTAGAAAATGGCCGCAAACTACATAAAAACTGCCGTAGAAGCATGAAAAAGTCGATTATTTCCACTATCGATGGTAGTTGGGAAATGCAAAGTCGGTCTTGGCCTTTCTGCCAACTTGGAGCATGTGCATGTAAATTTTAGCGCAAATCCGTCGAAAATTGCGGCCGTGCATTCGTTACACACACACACACACACACACACACACACACACACACACACACACACACACACACACACACACACACACACACATCCTGCCTTTTATAGATAGTGATATAAAAAAGAAAACACATAAACATACAAATATATATAAATATCTCATATATACTTATTTACGCATGAGTACACATACACGAGTACAAATGTATAATACGTTAAAGACATATATAAACACAAATGTATATACCTATATACACACATATACATACATACACATATACATACATATATGCATATGTATATGTACACACACATAGAAGTAAATATAAAAATATCTACCTACACAGTAACATAAAAAATAATAAGAATATATATATATATATATATATATATATATATATATATATATCCGCATCCAGGGTAAGACGATAGACTACGTCCAGCAGCAAGGCCTCTACTCAGGAGGTTTTGACTAGCGTGGAACCACCTCTTAATTGCTGATGTTCCCAGGTCCACCCTGACCGGGGGTGGTAGCACCTGTTAGGGGTCCCAGCTATGGGCAAATAGTTAACCCCAAAACTGAGGTAAAAAAACATTATGAAAGCGTAAAAATGGGTTTTAATACCAGAAATACTTTCTCAAAAAATTATACCAGAAATAAATTTTTGAAGAAAAAATCTATTACTAGCAATATATTTAAAAAAAAAATATTACCTGCAATACATGTTTTAAAATAATATTACCAGTTATGCATTTTTGAGGAAAAATATTACCAGAAATAGATTTTTGACAAAACAAAATATTACCAGGAAAAAAAAAGTTGTCGTCATTAAGTAACCGACTGAGGTTGATATACCGTAAAACAATAAACCAAATCAAACATATACATATTAATATACACACATGCATACAAACACCAGAAGTGTTGAAACAAAATAGCTATTTTTGTAGTGATTTTATAACATATTTATTTTATACTTTTCGAATATATATATATATATATATATATATATATATATATATATATATATATATATATATATATATATATATATATATAAAAGAAAGTAAGATATATAATCCTGTGTTCTTATAGATATTTTTATTTTTACATTTGAGGATGAAATGGAACTAATATCTTTAATTTAATTACAAAATTAAATTCAGGGCTTTTAGCTTCCATTTTTGAAACATGGTTAGAACAGTGTAGCGGAAAAACATTTTAAATCAATTAATTTATATATATATATATATATATATATATATATATATATATATATATATATATATATATATATATATATATCGGTTATGTATTTTAACACATTTAACATTTTATAGCTATACCTTAACATACAAAATTACAGATAAACATAAACAAATTCTAGAAGGTCCCATAAATTTCTAGAAGGTTCGATAATGTTCTAGATATCACCAGGAAGTTGTAGAAGGCTTTTCAAGTCACCATAAAGTCATAGTTCTAACTTACTTATATACGATTTTAGAAATATTGCTTTGACGGAGACATTTTAGAAAAAAAAAAAAAATATATATATATATATATATATATATATATATATATATAATTATTATTTATATATTATATGCTCGGTATATCAGAGAT